AAGTAAAGAGAGAGCAAGGAGTGCTGATTTTTATTTTTCCCCGCGGTTTCAACTCGTGCACTCGTGTACGTTGAGAGAGAAGAAAAATGTGAAGAGGAACCTGGATCGAAAACGAAAGAAAGAAAGAGAGAGAGAGAGAGAGAGAGAGAGAGAATATTTCCGAAATTTCACGCAGGACTCCAACTCGAACATCGGTGCAACGGAAACGATTCCACGCGTCTGCCGAGTGGTTTCACACCTCGATTCTTCTCCTCCTCCTAGGTTTAGGTTACGCTCGAGATCGGAAATTTTGACTTTCTATCTAGCTAACTAGGATCCGTAGACTCTGGAAATTCTCAACGAAACAAAGACTCGAATGTGACTCGCGTCAGCCGATGTTCCAATGACGAGGAGATCTCGGCTCGATGAACTCTCGCTGATCCTCTCGTGGATCCTCGAGCAATCGTCCGCTAAATTCTTTCTTTCTCTCCTCTACACCGGCTGATCAGCCATTCGCAAAGCCATTTCTCGACTCGACTCGACTCGGCACTCGCCGTGATTTCCACCACATCACGATCGCACTGAACTTTTAAGTACTTTGCGCGACTTACGAGAGCTAAACAGTCACGAAGGATCATGGGTGGGAGGTCGCGAAGGATCGGAACGCGCGAGAATTGACGTGTTTCACTCGGATCTGGAGGGGCGATTTGTACAAATTTTTGGACCCGATCGGTCGGGGGATCGTTCAGTTGCTCGTTCACGTTCACGCGAGTCGACAGAATCACGATCTTACAATCTATTTTAATGGAACGATAAATGTCTACGCGCATTTATTTTTTTTTTTTTTTTTTTTTTTGGCACCGTCTCTTGCCGGCCACGAGATTTTCCTGCGAGAGGGAAGTCCCTTTCTTCCTCTCCCGCTTTAATCTGCCTTTCAAACGAGGTGATAAAAAATTGCAAATATCCTTGAACTTTCTTCTACAACGTGGGGGGAGACAAGCACGAGCCCCACTCCCGTGTGTAGATTTTATATTCATAACTTTTTACAAGTATTCTTTTGTTTAACCCCTTGCACTGTAAAAACGAGTGTGAGATACGCGTTCGTCTTACTCGTGGCGAATCTTACCATTATATATCTTTTTCTTTTTTTTTTTGTTATGATAT